GTGACAATTTGCTTTCAACTTAGACCCTCAGGAACATCAATTGCTGTTATAGAAAAGGACAACTTGCAGAGTTTATTGATACAGAAGATATTCTTTATTATTATTATTATATATTTCTTCATAGTGCATATTTCTAGGTAAACTTAAATAAGACTTCGAAACACAATATTTACAGTGCACAGCTTGGAAACAAAGCCAGACATAACCCATTTATCTTCAAGGATCCACAAGACAAGGAGACATGGGGGAGAGGAAGACAAATAATTTGATACTCAAAAACATGACCAAACATCCTGGATATAATCAACCAGTGCAAGCATCACACTTAATGTCCATAAATGAGAGGGAAAAAAAGAAGCTATTTTTGGTTATATACTTTGGAAAGGAGGTTTCCACATCTTGGGGATGGAGGCTGCGGTTGGAATGGTATGATATACCTCTCACATTCATGTCTCTTTTTTATTCCCAACAAATCTACTTCCAAATCTCACCCTCCGTCAAGGTGAATAAAGAATTTGATATATACGCCATATACCAATTTGAAAAATGAAGATTGGGCTCCTGTGGTTTAGTTCATGGAGAATCAAAGCCTGATGTGTGTTTTGCACATGTGGGTGGAAAACTAGACCAGAATGGCAGTTGAATTCTCTCCACCCATTTTAGGACTATGAACAATTTTCGACAATAAAACTTACACAGAAAAATACCTTTTTTCTTGAGATTATAGCATACAACCACACAAGACTATCTATCTGGTTAAGGCAGCTTTGGAAAACATTGCACAGTGCTGTCTATACAAAACAGGTTATTCTCCTTTTATTACACTACACAAAGAATCAAAAGACTGCCCATCCCTCCAAACTGAATTGACCACCAACCCGATTCAATTTAGAAAGAAGGGACAGGTGTTGGATCAGAACACATTTTTCGTTTGTTTTACAATCTACATTTTCCCACCCTTTTATGAAAAAGAAAACAGACTTTTAAAAGCTTGATATATACAGACGTACCCTTACTTCCCCTTTGGTTATTAAAAAAAAAAGGCATTACAAATCAAGCAAAAGAAAACCAAAGAAATGCGAAAGAGAAAGTTCTCTCTGTAAGGCAACCTTGAGAAATATCTACTGAGATAGACGGGGAAAAGCTACTTTTTTAAATGCAGAGTTTCACCAGTGATAAACATCCCAAGGCATCTAGCAACATGTCTCCATTGGAAAGGAACTTCGGCAATTCTAGACTAGAACTGAAGATCACAGTATGTTCAAAACATCTTGGAATAAGGCTGTGAATTTTTTTTTTTTTTCATGCTGAAACAACATTGAACTAGAGGAAGGGCTTTTTATCCCATTTTGAGAAAAGTAAGCGGATTTGCAGAAGGTTGACTTGGTATGACTTTGCATTCCTTCCTTTAAATTAATTTAATCAAGGAGAGAAGCAACCAAGGACTAAGAAGAAATTTCCTGACAGTGAGAACAATTAATTCGTGGAACAACTTGCCTTCAGAAGTTGTGGGTTTCCCAATACTGGAAGTTTTAATGAAGCAATTGGACTGGAAGACCTCCAAGGTCCCTTCTA